GTTGCTTTGCGGATTGATTCGAAGTGAAAATAATGTATAAAACCAGAGACACAACAATAATACTTATCACTCGAAGCCATAAGCTCACTTTGACATTTTCAGACTCACTTCAACTGAAAGGCACTTTAATCGTCGGCGACGATTCGTCGCATGAATCTAAACGTTTTCCATGTGAAATGCGCATTTTTGGAAACTGTTTCAATTTTTCTAGTATATTCGAATGGGTCAATTTCTCCTATGTTCGGATGGATGGGCACCATAGCTTTGAATAGCAGACGGATTTTCTACTATTCGAATTCTTTTGGTTTCTTGCTTTTGCTTTTCTGACGAAAATTCTAGATTTTCCATTCCATTTTTTTACGTTGAAGAATTTTTCTCGTTTCGCAGTAATTTTGCGGGAAAAAAAACATTTTGCACACTTTAAGTTATGCTGTTGGCATAATATACATTATTCATATGGCTGCGTTTTGGTGATGGGGAGCGAGTATATTTACAAGTCACTTGCAGAACATTTCGAAAACGAAGAAACTGACTTTTCAAACATAAATAAAAAAGGAACATTTTCTTAGAAACAAAAGAAAAAGAGCAGAAGCAAAAAAAAAACTGGCAAAAAAGGTGGGACCATTAGAAAACTTCACTGCCACTTAGAAGCCCACTTTTTCTCAAGCTTAATTCTTTTTCTTGCGCATTTTTTTCCCTCAACAAAAGTAATCCTGAGGATGAAACCATTTTAAGTTTTTGGTTTCCGTCAATTCTCATGAAGAAAGTGAGAAAAAAACGTTATAAGCCGTAATTTGAGAAAAGAGTTGTAATCTATTGCATGGCTTTATTTCATTAAATAGAGTGGTTTTGCAAAAGATTTTTTTTATCATCTTCACAACGGAATTCGATTGCAAGGGGAAAATATATTCAAGAGAAGTGAAAAACCGTGAATAATGAGAAGTGACCCAGTATCAGTTGTGTTAAAATCAGAAAGAATTATCTTTTGTGGTCGGTGCAACCGGAATGTGTTTGTTGAACGGGGTGTTTGGATTTATCTTGATCTTTGGGGTTACTTTCGAGCTTAATTACCCCATTTCATGGAAAATGCTCCCTCTTCAGTAAAACAATGTTTCCCTCGTTTTATTTTCCTCTTAAACAGTGTGGAGGATGAAAGCGAAGTGAGATAGGGATAGGGAGTTCAATAAGATGAGTGGAAAATTACGCGCGAAAAGTTTTTTTTTATGAATTCGAAGCGCTCTCTTTCGTCTCTTTGTTGTTTGTCTTTGAAGCGTTGAAAAGAAAAGGTAAAATAATACGAATCTAGTGTCAAGGGTGTCATCAGAAAAGTCGACGCTTTTTTGCTAGTTCATTGAATGTGCACCTTACAGAACATCAAAACAAGAAATATCAAACGAATTCAAGCGAATAATATTAAGAATATTGTATTTCAAAAGCAGTTGTTCGCGTACAAAGAGCAAACGAATTCGAGCATATTTAAATCGAGCATTCATTATTACAATCGTACCTTATCGAAACGTTGTGTCATAAATTTTCAACAGCAATAAAGAGAGAACAAGAGCGAATAAGTACGTATGGAAAATCCATCAAAATCAAATATGTTACCGGACTTGTTTGCAGGCATAAATCGGTCGCGAGATAAGAATGTTGATTGTTTCAAGCGCGTATGTTATACGTCTGTTTTACATATCGTCATGTTTTTTCCGAAATCGTACTTCACTTCTGCCTACACACAGAAAATAAAACGTGAAGCAGTTTCAATGAGGAAGCGTCATGTATCTAAATCACGTTCATCGTTTTCTTCGAAACGGCAGCTCAGGCTTTTACAAGCTCGAATTGTGTCCACGTGAAATATTACATCAAAAATGTATCTTTGGTCGAATAAAAAAAAAAAATGCAAACGGCAACTATACGAAAGTGAAGGGAGAAATGAGCTTTTTTTCTCATTACAACGGCGCACATGTCCCCAGTATGGTAGAACGTTAAACAAAATGGAAAACAATTCCAATGTTCATAAACATATCCGATCTCAACAGGATACATATAGAGAGAGAACGGAAAAAATGCCAACAAATTCGAATGATGCGTACAAAACCATTTTCATTCGATGCTTATTTCATTGTTTTTCATAAGATTGCATTGCTTTCGGTCTGTGAAAGCCTTTTCAATGAAGCACGTTTTTTAAAGCCCATCGTTTATTTTCATCTTTAATTCGTCAGCCGCACCAAAATGGCGCAGCAATACGAATGGCTCGCATATATGCGTGTGTATACACAGACGCATTGAAAGATAATTAAATGGATTATCTCTTATTTATAAAAGCACCATCAGACCAATGGAGAGGCCGACACAGAGAAAGCAAGCGAAAGAGAGAGAGAGAGAGAGAGAGAGAGAGAGAGAGAGAGAGAGAGATAGAGAGAGAGAGCGGGAGAGAAGAGCAGAGAGAGCAGAGAAAAGAAGGCGAACTTTGGCCCACAGACAAAAGAAGCTTGTGTAATACGAATGTTTAGCACACACATTAATTTGACACATCTTAACCCTTTATCACATTTCGGTTCCTAAAGTAACCAGATACGCCAGACGCTATAGCTATGAAACCACTGAATATTTTTACATTCTTGTTTGGAAACAAATGTAGGGAAATGAACAAGCTTTCATTTGATACTTTACAGGCTGCAATCGGCTGGCTGAATGGAAAAGTTTTTCTGTTCATGTACTGCTGTAAAAAAAATGCGAAATTATAGCAGAATTCCACATTTTTCCTCCTCTTATCTTGTGGGTTTGTTCATTCTCTTCAATTGTCAAATTAGGACTCGTAGGACCAAAACACATCAATTTAACTTTCTGCATCATTAGTTTTATGAAATTTAATTTTTTCAAGCTTTTATAGTGATTTGACACTTTTGACTCTTTTCCGATTTTCTCGACAAATACGCAATTTTTCAAAAATCTAAGTATGAGGTCTTTCTCTATTTATCATGGCACAAAAAATATAACAAAATGATTCTAAAACAAAAAATTGTGCATCAAAGGGTTAAGAGTGCCATTTATTCGACGACCATTCTTCCAGTTTCTATACGCTTTTCGCGCGTGAATCTCCGTAACAATAATCACCAACATAATGAGGCGAATAAGGTGTATGGAAAACGAATGGCGCTTCAGATATCATGTATTAAACTGTTCTCATTTTTATCCTGCAAGAGCGTCGAGCCATTTTTTTCGCTCGTAATAAAACGTAATGTACAAACACAGCGGTACATGTGCGTGCTGTTGTTTTTATTTTGCGCTGCCAAAGGACATTTTTTTAAATTTTAAATGCTCGTTTTGCACAACGCTCTTCCATGGAACGCTGTTTTATTGTAGAGAAAAGGCTGTTTATGACAATGGGGCCTTGTGTTGCGTTCATCTCTTTTTATTTAGCCGTTGCTAGCTAAAAAAAGAAAATTGATTTCGATTCTTTTTTTCATATTTATTTTCTCTCATAATTCTCATTTGCATAGCCTATTCAGCATTGGGCTATAGCAATTGCCGTCACGCGAAATAAAGGCAAAATACTTGCGATAACTTTTTTTTCCTCATTTCTCTCACAACCAAATACGCATTAACCATTTTATATTACCAGACACTTTTCTTCTATTTGCACCACTTTTCTTTCACTATCTCTCTCTCTCACATATTAATTAATTTTTTGTCAGCTCTTTCTTCGCGAAATTGGCGCGCGGAACAACGATAGAAATTTATTGAATTGTATATTTTCAAATTTCATGTGATTGCCAGTTATTAAAATGTATTATGAGAATTGCTCGGAAAATTATTATTCTATGGCTTGAAAAATCCTTCCTAATGGCGGTACATCACACAAACCATTAAACTTAAATGCACAACACGACCAATGTTTCGCTCGTTCACTCGCACGCGCCGCGTCTATAAACATGTTACAAATCACCTGTTCCGTGTTGATTTTTGTGATGCCATAAAACGGCTTTCTTAAGCGGATAGATCTACATGGCACTGTCAACGGCGATAGAAGCGGAAGAAAACGTGAATGGCTTAAATGCAAGGATATGAAATGTGTGAGGTGTAATGTAAATAGCAGACGATGAGCTGCTTTTTTTCACTTTAGATCCATCTATTTATCGAATGGTTTAACGGCATTGCAGCGACAAGCTGATTGTGAGTCACAATTTGTGACTAGCAAAACACAAGAAATTTTCTCGCCCAAAACCGGGGATAAAAGATAAAATCATTTGCAAAAAAGTGGTTTACTAGCAGCATAAAAGTGTTTCGAAACTCGAAGGCTGAATTATTCACGTATAGATGCTGACGCAAACCGACTGGACAAAGACATAAACTTTCGTAACTGGACTCATCTTTTTTTTATCGTTCCTTGTGGTATCTTTATTTTTTGCAAAGGGTAGAAAAAAGAGAGCGAGAGAGCGAGCGAGAGAGAGAGAGATATAAGTCGAAGTGAATCCTTTATTTGGCCGTTAGATAATTCTACGGTTCATGAATAACACACAACCGAGCGCGCAATGAAATCAAATCTCCGTACAATTTTCGTGTGTATCATATTCAGTCAACCATATGTTTAGATATTTATTTGATGTGTTGTGGCATCAGTGTGTGAATCGAGCACAATGAAACCCATCAAAAAATGACTATAATCGCAAACGCCTTTTGTCCGACGGCACTAACTCGCTTGGACACAACAAGCCAGAAACTTACTCAATAATAATCTCAGCAAAACTGCGCATTGTACCATTCGAAGACGGTCTCTCGGTCGGTACAATAGAAAATTGAGTTTATCACATACACAAAAATTTGTTCATTAATATTTCATGAGGACTCCTGAACTGAAAAGAATAACTTTTCCTCTGACAAGAGTCTCTTATTCCAAAAAGCCCATAAATCCAAAAAACAAAAAAGACAAAAAACAACAACACATCACATCAACAAAGCACAAAATTTAAAATTCAAATTAATATTGAAATTTGAATTACCTTCAAGTTGTAGCCTTTTCAATTGAAACCCATTTAATGATTTGATCGGCACTCAAACTGCGTCATTATGCTTGCAAATTGAGAGAAATAAAATAAATCGACAGCTTAACGTTGCAAATCCAACGAATCACTTTGAAATTGACTGCAACAATTTTCAGATTTTCAAGCATATGGTAGGGAAAATGATGCAAAACCAAAAAGTTTTCTATTCGAATCAATTACTACTGAATATTATTCGAATTGTGTGACACAAATCAGGCGGAACTGTGTGAAAAACTTTTAACTTTTATTAATGAGACGACGAAATTCAAAGCACTCAATTAGAATGCGTACCAAATTCGGTTGAAACCATACGAGTGGATTCGCGAAAAACAACAGGTTTCACAACACTCAGTGAATGACGAATGCTGACAGAGTCACGTCGATAAAACTTGAACTAGAGGAACAAGTTGGAGATAAAAACCTATCCGTTGGAATAGCAAACATCAACTGGTTGAACAGCAAAATGCCATTGTGAACTGTTTAGGATGAATATGCAGCATTCGACAACAGTCACGCGTATGACGACAACCAACTGATGTGGTTGTGTCTCTCTCTCTCTCTGTGTGTGTGTGTCCGTATGTGACTGTGCTTGTGTCGAACATTCCAACATGCATGGAAAAGTGGAAAAATGCTGATGCGAATACGCGATAACGACAGCCGCCACCTAACTCGCTAATAAGGGAAATTCACATTGTAAACAAGCAAAAATGTGCGACTCCACATAGAAACAGCCATGATTAAGGGAAACAAGTTTGTTTTTTCTTGGCCTGTGCTTTGGTGGTGATTGTGTTTTCTATTCCAACTTGTTGTCACTGGGTGTATGTGTGCATGTCGTACAAAATCAACAGGCAAAACGAGTATGCTGTGTTCACAGTTCGTGCACTTCAGTCCAGCAGGACAGTACATACAAGTATTGGGGAAATTCTCTTTGTTTTGCGCAATATTCAATACGCATATATACATTTTCACATCAGTTATATGACTCCAGGGGTGTATTCAACTTGTCATATACTTGTGATTTGTATTTGTTTTCTCTAGAGAAAACCAATTCAAAAACAATCTGTCGAGAATGTTCAGTTCAATGTTCGAAACTTCATTAACAACGCATTAAAATTACGAAGAGTCGTGCAGGGAGCTCGAGCTGAAAATCCCTGCAGTAAACAATAATCGCAACATGCGAATAAAAAAAAAACTTCCAGTAAACAATAATATGAGCAGCAGAAGCCAAAACACAAATTAACACAATGCATTTTACAGTGTAGCTGTTGTTTTTATTGAAGCTTCGCTCGCTTTTCGATAGATGGCGCTGTTGAAAGTTCCACTGCAAAGCTGTATTCCTTTCATTTGTATTAAATTCACACTGTTTATGATGAGTATCAAACTATAAACAACAACATTCATTGCACAATCCTTCGAAGACGCTGAAAAAAGGCGTGATCTCTTATCAATCCCTTTGGCATGAACCATGAATTTCACACATTTTATTGCGTCAATTAGTTTTCCCAGCAATATTCGAGTCATTTCGCATCAAAACATCTGAAACTATTAAATGAATTAAGATTTTGATACTAGGAAACAAATATTTCAGGTCAAACGCGTACAAGTTGAAAGTTGTCTGATGAAACTTTTTGAAAAATGTGCCGCTACAAGGGGAAATATTGTTTGAATTGATGATATCGATGTGTGGAAATGAATTTTATTTGAAATGCAAACCAGTTCCATCGACATTTATTTCTGGCGAATTTCCTATAAAGTTAATTTTTTCAATTTTAAATGAAATCATTGTTTTTGTTATTGTTTCGTATACCGTTCGATCGGATGAAGCCTTTCGTTTTGATGAAAACGTGTTTTGTTTTGCATCATTTTGTGTTGAAATCAAGGAAAACGTAGTTGAAAATAGCACGCAATACCTTGAAAATAGCACGCAATACTGTGTATGGTGCTTCGTCACACCCAATAAAATGACCGGAATGATGATGAATGTTAAGGGTCACAAAAATACTCTTGTCATGTGCTTTCGAATTTGAGGCTTGAAATTGCTTACTCAGGAATACTCGGAACAATCTCAATTTCTTCGTATTTTTATAGAACGCAAATAAACTTTGATGATAGTCTAACTCTAATTCGAAATGGAATTTTGTTCCGCTTTACTTTGTTTTCTGTTCAAGAACACTGTTCTATCAAATTCTCTTTGATCACCGAAATACCAATACATTGATAATTATTCTTATACGGCGTTTTATAGCACGAAGACTTATGCGTCGATTCAAGATTAAAGTAAAAGCCAAAGAAATGAAAGTGGCGTGAAATTCAGTGCAAAAGTCGTGTAACTATTATGATATTTGCGTAATGTCCACTCAATGGACCAGTGTTTTATTATTCTCTAAATCAAATGGGTTATTTCTGATGCAATAACAACCTTGTTTTCCAACAGATCTGTAGTCACGTTTAGGTTTATCAGTAAACAAAAGAAAAACGTATAAATTGTTATGATTGAATTTACGATCAAAACAAAACGTATGCGACACACTTCAATGGCAACTCAACCAATGAATGAAATCGTCACCGAAACTGTTATGAATATGCCGATTGAGTGCAATGAAACGAATATTTTGAAGCAAGTAAATGACCTCAATGCGTTAGTAATTCAATATGAATATTCGAACATGATTCCATGCTTCGAGTTTACCATAAGTTTATGTAATTGATTTGGATTGTGGAATTTGGGGAGAATTAATGGTTTAGAAACAATTGGCGCACTAAGATCACCGTGTAATTTTCTAAGAAAGAAGACTCAAATCTCTGCTTGAAAATAGCTTGATTTCAAACAAGATGTTACACTTTAATCTACTGCTAATACTGCTGTCTTCACCTTGCACAGCGACATCGTTCGATGCCTATGATTTTCTTCTCCACATTTTATGCTTTTGTACGGCTTCTGCAGCGGTATTCAATATATGCGCGGACGTATTCGATTTTATCATAATTGAATTACAAGCATAATCCGAACACCTAGTTGCCTTTCGAACGCATTTTAGCCTCGTTACCGAACGAATACATCGGTTCTACGGGAAAATGTGAATCAGGGATGGACTTTGGCGATTTGAACTGAATGAATTTTTTCCTCATGAAATTGATGTAATTCATTCTCTCCGTAAAGTGAGAAAATTATTATTTTTGACCAACCGATAAACTTCCTCATTAGAACAATCGAATGAACAACGTTCGACAACAATAGATCATACGCTACATTATGAATATTGATTAGTAATTGTTGGTAATAAGATGTTTTTCAATGAAATCATACACAATTTCCAAGCCCTGCACTTGTTTCTGCTTTTATCAACAGTACGTTTGTTTTGTTTTTGTTTCGCTGTGCAATGTCGAAACGACGATTTTTGCCGCGTTTTTTTCTACTTTCAATTTCGCGGCAGGGGTTTTTCGCCTTCGGCTCACACATTTTCGACGAACGACAATCGTTGAACAAACACGCATCATGAAAATGTCGTTGTAGACGTGAACAGATGATATTTAAGCCAGAAGCCAGCTCAATAATTAAACTAGTGTGATTTGTTGTGTGCTTTTAGCGAGACCGAATCGATTGATTTCGCGCTGAACACAGATCGTATTGTGAAGAAAAATTAAAAGGAGAGACGTTATTGAGTGGAGAGTGAGCAAAATATACTGATAACAATTGGGCTAACGAAATTCAAAATATTAATAGAAAAACGTAAACGCATTATTCAGTTGAAAAAAAACTAGGTTAATTTGATACTACAATCATCACAAAAATGCCACCAGCTGCTGATTATCCGTGCATAATTTGTCGGGAGACTTGTTGTTGTGTCACAAAAACCGATGATCATAATTCGGACACCGAAATAAATGGCAACGGAATTGAAATTATCACGAGAGGTGAAAGTGTGCTGACAACCGCACTGAGATCATTGCGCTGGAATCGATTTACTACAACAGTGCGAAGCGATGAAAAAGTTTTAGATCAAGAAAAATGCCGACCGATTATCTCGCTAAAAGAAGTTGCCGATCATGATTCGTATGACGATTGCTGGATTGTGTTATATGATCGTGTTTATGATGTGACAAAGTTTTTACACGAGGTAAATATTGACATTCAATTCAGATTGAACATTTATAAATCAGATGATCGATATTAATTGAACGATGAATTGGTTTTAGCATCCAGCCGGACATGATGTGATCCTTGAATATGGTGGACGTGATGCAACCACCGTTTTTCGTGGTCATTCGCAATTCGCCATGCGTTCAATAAAACTGTACGAAATCGGTGAATTGCCGGAAAAAGAACGAATTTATCGAGTAGCCGGTCGCTTGAGATGCGATGAATTACCCGAATAGAAAACAATGTTTCCTTTGCTAGATTTATCGGCTCCGGCTTTGTACTCAATTTATTTTTAAGCACTTTTTTGTCGAGTATTTATTTTAATTATTTTTATTAATTTATTTTACTTCCAAATTGCAATCTGTGTTCAGAGTTCAACAAATTGGTTATAGATCATTTTGTTTTATTTAAATAAAAACGAAAAATATTCATTTTATTCGCTTGTTGTAAAAAATCAATCAACTGCGGTTATTCACTTCATTTGAATAACCTCGAATACCTAAGCAAAACCTGTTGACATAATTCTGTTGTTAAATAAAATACCATGCCTCTCAATTATCGATTGTCATTCATTAATTTTGTTGCTCGTAAATAAGTTGCTACTGAATTGAACCGAATAGCATGGACCACCCGGATGCATTTCGAGTTTAGCTTACGTCGAACAAACTTGTCTTGATACAGCAAGTCGAATTGACTATTGAATGTAATTTCAATTTTATTTTTTGCCGAATGGAAATCTTTGAAAATGAGTCATGTTTTATGAAATATTACATCACATCACTGCCAGCCGGTTAGCCACAGGATAATCAATATAGCAACACCACATAACAGAAATAAAAAAAACTATAATTTTTTCATTCCTTGATATTCAAATTTAAAGCGAAGGTTGGATTGAGAAATCAGCAAAGTTTGAAAACCTGCACGCATATTTAAATTTAAAATTTACCCATCATTGGCTCAAGTCATTATAGACCGCAATTTACGCATAATTTCTATAAATGTAAACTTTGGCGAGAAGAATAGTACAGGTATCGATAAACCATATAAATTACCAGACACAACTCCATTAGGACTCTCAATTTAGGAGTGACTCTTGGCTGCCGAATCCCCGATCGAAGAACTACAGCCAGAATAAATTTTAATTGGAAACATTCGTACGTTGAAACGGTTTTCGTTAGTATTGGATTCATAACATGAACACAGTAGAAACAGAACTGAAATCTGTCAGTAGATTCTGAAAGGCTCATCATTTTTTTAATCATTTGCCTTTCGACCACCTTAGAGTGCAACACCCTGTATTACACGGTCCATTTGAATTGCAAAAGCGATCAAATTTTATTGATTTCAATAGCGTCATGCTAACTAAATAATAATATTCCCACGTGTTAAGTTCAATGCATAGCTGTAAACAATCGATTACATCATAAAGGTTGCACTGATAAAGTTTGTTAGGAATGTCTACTGTTTTAATTCGTTTTGTCTGGGATTCTTTTTGCCTGAAACGCGCAAAGACTTGATCAAAAATGAAATCTTACACTTTTTTGAATACGAAAAAAATTCAGTCATTTCGAACGCGTTTGTTCTTATCAGAATCTTAACGCAAATCATTTCTGAAACATACATCACAATCAATAAATAATCACCAATGTTCGTAATTTTTTCTGGCATTGATTGCGCAAGTGAAAAAAGGGGCTACAATTGCTATGAGAAGAAATTGCCACTGAAGCGATGTATAATCAAATTGAAATTATTGGTTGCAATCGATCTATATCACACATTTCTCGAATGACCAGCTGTTTAGATGCATAAAAAATGCTGTGAAATAAACAACCTGAACGAATGTTGAGTCTTATAATGACTTTCATGCCATTTGCTGTACATTGTCGGTTTTTTTTTTACCACCCAGAAACCTTACATTTCACTTAAATGGTGTACCTGAAATAATAAAAGATGTTCAATGATCAATTGCCTGCGGAATGTGATTGCATTGTCGATTGGAATTTCTATCTGTCTAAATGTGTAATTCAGCACAGTGAATTCAAAGTGCAAAATATGGCTTTGATATTTCATGATTCAGAATGTGCAATGCGCATTGTGCATTGTATAATACGATAGTTCAGTATTCTGACATAAATTTCGACAAAAATATGTGCTTTTCCACTCATTCATATTTCAATGTGTATTGAGAATTAGAAATAGAAATATCTATTTTCAGGTCCCCTCAAATAGCGTAAAAACAACTCAAATGCACTCTCCGGTGTGTGTGTGTGTGTGTAACAACATAAACAAACGAAATGAAAAACTCATTAATCGCGAAAATTGATAAACCGACTAGAAATGCATCGCAGGCGCCAATCTCAATCATAAAACACACACAAACAGTTACAAATGTTGTACTAATTTATCAATTGAATGTAATGCTTTCTTTTTTTTATGAGCGAAATATTTGTATATAAGGATTTATTTGTGTTGCCTGGTTGTTGTTGTTGTCGTTGGAAATGCGCCAATTTATAAATTAAATCTCGTTTGGCGATTAGACTGGAAACGAGGTGAAGGCAACGTAATCGGTTCGAACGCGCGCGCGCGACCGACCACAATAAATCTAATTTTCTGGCTCTGACTTTTGACGACTCAGTTTGTGTACGCTTGATCTTGATTATAGACAGCCCGTGTTTGTTCGTCGCAAATCAATTTAAACGGAGTCGAAATCGCGTTTATTATTCGGTGCTTAGCTGAAAAAAATATCGTATCTGGAGTTGTGTTCCATCAAATGCCCACAAATTAATTGAATTGTACGGCAAAACGTGATCTCGATGCTCCAGCAGTCGTCTAGAGATCATAAAGTCATTTGCAAAACGACAAATGGCTTTCGACAATATCACTGCAATATCTTTTCTACGTTTTAACCATGGCTGATTTCATTTCCCAATTGATTGATACGATTTCGTGTTTTGCGAATTTACCGAAGTGATCTTCCCTCGGATTAGAGTTGTTTACGATTTTATAGTCATAATTTTTCGCATCTAATTGATCGAGAGAGAGAGAGAGCGGAGAAGGAACGAGCCTGGTGTGGTTCAAACGAGTTTCACAAGCAGCTTTCACATAGCTACGAGTATCATCAATAAAACACTAATGCAATCGATTGACGAATGGCTTTCGATCAATCATCGATAATAAACAGAACGAATATCCATGGTGTGGCGTGACGCCTTCGGTTCAATTCCAAATCTAATCTGTAATTTGTTTCCTCGTTTGAATCTCTTCAGTCATTTGCACCAGTTCTGATTATCGAGTACAGTTCACGACGAACACGCTGTTTCGCGATGACCTTTCTCCACATCGATGCCGCAGGTGGCCGGCACAGTGCATGACATCATCCAATCGACACACAAAAATTGCAAAAATTATTGTTTAATGTGTGTTTGTGAGTGCATTTTTTTGCGATCGGTGTCAGTTCAAATTCGTGGTTAACAGAACCTCAAATCACAATGGGTCAAGCATTGCAACTGATCGATTCTGCCAGCAGCGATACACATTTCATCATTTTTAGAACGATGATGATTGGCGGAAAAAATGGCAAAAACAAGATACCGCTTGTTTTTAGTGCAAAAAACAAAAGTGTCACAAAATGACGAAAACACTGGAATAAACATGATATGCCAAGTATCGGCTCTGATAAGCCAAACATTGTAAAATAAAGCGATTGTAACGAATTCGAGAAAAAACGACATTTTTTCCATGAATCCCTTGACGGAGATTTGACTATTTTTTTCGCTCTTAAAAGATATCGCTCAATATTTATTGCCCAAAATAAGTTTGGAATAACTTCTTTGAGTCCATTTCTCACACAACACAAAAAAACCATCATTTTCTGAAGGAAAAAAAACTCATTAAAATTGGGTTTTGCTTGAGAAATAGCCAATTTCAATGAAAATTCTCATTTTTTCTCTTAAACAAAATTAAAGACATAAAAATGTTTTCTTTTTTCGTTGTAAAAAAATAAGACTATCCTCGGGCACTTTCATATCACAAAATCAGCATAAACGCATAAATTTCTTCGAAAAAAATGATCTAATTTATGGCTTTATAAACAGAGAGCGAGTGAAAAAAAAGTGTCTGTTATTTGAGATGAAAAATGAGAGAAAGGAAGGCATAAAAATTCGAGGCAAAAAGTCAAGTGCATTAATCGATCCCTGGTTCGTTCTTTTTTCTTGGTCGACGATAGAATTGAACTTCTCGAACTCGATACGCAAGAAGTGAAATGGGAAAATTGAAATGGGCATCACCAAAGCGATAAATCATCCTATTTCTCTTTCTCACTCTCCAGCATCGAATGTCAGGCTGGCGAGCAATTTTTGTACAGCAATCTCGTTGTAACACTTGAAATGGACTGATTATCAGTAGGTTTTATTATTTGGATCGGTTTTGAGCATTTTTATGTAAAAAAGGTGTGTCAACGAAATCCAGAGCAAAAACTCTTGAATCTAAGTTGAACTTTCTTCATATTTCAGTTTGTTTGAAGTGTTTTGATTTCCATTTTTCATAACTCGTTTGCAAGATCCAAGATTCGCTCTTCATAATTTGAAATCGCATTTCATGACAAATGTCGTAAACATTTTTCGGTGTTGTTCGTTGTATCGGTGCAGAGTACGACGCAGCAGGCCTAAAACACCCATTAACACATTTGTTCACGATTTTCATTCCCTTTATCTGGGCTCGACTCATGCTCTCTCACCGTGCAGTTCTATTTGAGACCATTTTTTCATCAATTCCAGAACATAGACCACACAGACAGCCGGCACACATGTAGCAAAAATTTAATGTCGCCGAATCAATCGTAAATTCTGTTTCAGTTCGATTTGTGTATGTCTTTTTGTGTTCCTCAACCAATTTCCTCGGCAACGAACGACAAATATATGCTTAAACATGATCTATAAATGAAATTAAACGTGAAAAAAGGAACGCTGAATGATCACTAATATGAAAATGCTAAATGCACACAAACGAATGAGCCCATTGAATGCACCGCAGAGAGTGCACGGCCATAGAGTTGCCGATTCTACAGAGAGACAATAATTTATAATTTAATCATAATAAATTACTGTTGCAAACAATTTTATTAATTGAATTTTGCCGCCGCTTTGTGTTCGACAAACCATTTATTGTTTTGTATTTGCTACAATTGCTTGCGTATTAGCTCCGGTCCCTGGTTACCGCCTTCATTGTGCACAAAAAATATATAAAAGAAATCCGCTCAACATTTTTCATCTCATTTTTTTTCTTCCCCTCGAACGCGACCACAGTGTCGAACGACCACTGCCGTTCATTGATTAATCGCAATTAAAAAAAAAACATTTATTCGATCAGCAACTGGTTCACCGGTCGCTTTTTATTTCTTCGTTGTACGGCAATTTCGTTTATGTGCTTATAAAATCGAACAAATTATGATACGGCTATCATTATCAAAGTGTGACTGCGCTTAATCGAAGCCACATTAAAATGATTGAAGGTGACAGGCGAACGAGTGAGGAAAACTGAGCGAAAGGAACTGATCT